GTCTCACCACCAATCACTGTAAAACACTTATTCCTTATATCTAATCTAAATCAACTCTTTCAGTTTAAAACCATTCCCACTTGTTCTGTTGTGACAGGCCCTACTAAAAGTTTGCCCCCATTGTCCTTATAAGCCTCAAGGTAGCATCCAGGTCAGACCCTCCTGCACCCCCAGCCAGGTCTGCAAAGCACAGCCCCCCAGGCAGGAGAGAAATCACCTTCACCTCTCTGACACAGCAGTGAAATGTGGCAAGGGAAGGGACATTGGCAAAGCTATGAGCACAACAAGCAGTTATGCTCAGAGAAAGGAGCAGGGACAGAGGCAGGGAGAGATGGAGCTTTGCTGTTGTGAGCTATGGGATGGGGTGGAAACAGGGATTTCCTCCTGCCTTTTGGCTCCAGCAAGAACTCCAAGCAGAGACCAGAATAAATTCTAAGTCTCACACAGACGAGGAAATCCTCAGGAGAGCCCAGGGCAGCACACGAGTGAAGCCCCAGTTGCCAGGGGGGATGTCACCCTCAAGCCCCCCATGTCTCCCCTTGCAGCCTCAGTACCCAAACTGCCCCCACCACTACAAACCTCCCTGACATGGCCAGAGTGCCAGATGCTGTCTGAACCACTCCTCACCCCTCTCATTCCAAGTTTAAAGCCCTTTGGGCTAATATTAGCAGGGGAGTCCTCAGTTCTGAGCCCAGGTGGCTCAGGCTGTGCCCTTGGAGGTGAAATCCAGGTAACCCTTGCCCTAATCAGTGCCCAGGCACAAGCATCCAGGCACCCATCATATCAATCCCACCGAGGCCCCCCAGTACTCAGCCAGGGGTTCCCACCCCTGTCCACCCCCCACAGCAGCTGCACACACCTGCTCAGAGGCTGTCTGGGCCCTCCTTCCGCTCCCTCTTGCCACTTCCAAAGTCCATTGCCACATGGGCCGGTGGCCGCGGCGGGCAAAGGGCAACGTCTGCTCCTCCGCCCCACACTGCTGCTCACTCAGCTCCCAGGGCATTCACCACGGCTGTCTGCATCCTGCAGGGCACCTGCCCCATCCTTTGGGTCTCCTCTCACCCAGGAGATAGAGCACACAGCCCCCTGAGCTCAGAAAAATGCCAGATAATTCTCCTGTAGGTTTTTATAACAGCATGAGGTAAGTACAGGCAGAGAGTGATAGGACAAAGGGGAATGGATTAATGGTATAAATGGAAAGAGGGAAATACAGATTAGATATTAGGAAGATGTTTTATAATGTGAGGGTGGTGAGACCCTGTCCCAGGTTGCCCAGGGAGGCTGTGGCTGCCCCAACCCTGGCAGTGTTCCAGGCCAGGTTGGATGGGATTTGAAACAATCTGGGCCAGTGCAAGGTGTCCCTGCCCATGGCAGAGAGTTGGAATAAGATGAGCTTTAAAGTGCCTCCCAACCCAAACCAGTCAGGATTCTATGAGGTGTCCTCTTCTACAAATCCTCACACTTCCTAAGCAGTAATAAATCAAACCTGCTGGTTGAGTTGTTGGTTTAATTCAGACCCAGCCCACATCAAACAAATAACATCTGCCCTACCATGTGCTGCCCAGGGCAGAATTTTGTTGGGATGGAGCTGGGATCCATCCCAGAACTGCCTCATCTAAACCCATATAGCATGATAATGGCCTCACTCTATGAGCAACCAGGGATTCCTGCCTGGAAAGCCTCTTCCAAACTCCCCCAGGCACTTTAAAAACTGGAAAAAGGAGTAAATTAAGGCAAATGGCATCAGAGAAAACCACAGTAAAAGCTAGATATAAGATTTATCATCTGCCACCCAGCAGTGTAGTGATGTAGCACCTTCTCCCCCTTTTCCAGCACCTCCAAATTACCTCCACTGTGACACACAGCTCGGATGGATTTGGGATTCACAGGCAGGAGGGTTTGCTTTGCATCACGGTGGCACCATCAGAAACCCCCTATTTTAATGATGTTCAAAGACTATGTCTATTATAGCTTCAGACCTTGAAATTTCCACCCCACTGGGAGAGTTAAGAATTTTTCCCTGGTGGTCCCAAGATATAAGAGCTTGGTCTCTGCAGAATTCAAGATTTCAAGTAAAAAAATATCCTTAGCACTCAGCCATACCTAGATCTGACTGGGAGAAACACAAGCCAGGGAAGAGCTGTCTCCCTGCTGCTGAGCTGCTTCGGCAGAATGAAATGAAGTGTCTCCTCTCCATTTCACAGCTGCTCTTCACAACTTTGGAAGCCTTTGGATGAAGTAAAAGGGCTGTTATGGACAGATCAGTCTCCTGGGAAAGCTATAAAGGATCCCTAGAGACCATGAGAATCCAACTTTTAAAATGTATAAATATATATGATACTTCATACATATAAATATCATTATTCCACTTGGCTTCTGGCTAATAATTTTAGGTTTCTAGCCCAGAGGTGACTTCTGGATGGTTCCAACCTGTTTTCTAGCAACAACACAAATCTATACTGGGATCCAGCAAGGTTTAACCAGCATCACATGAAGATGTTGAGAAAGGTTGATTTAAATTTGATATAAGGAAGAAGTTTTTTTTACAATGTGAGTTGTAAAACACTGGCACTGGTTGCCCAGAGAAGCTGTGGATGATCCATCCCTGGGAACCTCCAGGGTCAGGTTGTATGGGGCTCTGGTTGAAGATGTCTCTGCTCACTGTTGGACTCTTTATTGTCCCTTCCAACCCAAACTATCCTGATTCTATGATCAGGCTGAGCTGACAGCCTAACCTGGGAGGATTTGCTTTGCAAGGAAGACTCAGAAGCTTGACTTGCATTAAAGCAGCTGCAACTTGTGATGTTTATGTTTGAGATGGGTGGAAACTGTTCCAGTCCAAGCTTGGGAAGGAGAGGCAAGAAATGCTACCAGAATCAACAAGCTTTGGGCAAAAGTGGTTTAAAATGGACAGCTGGGGAACACCAATTTAAAGGCAACAGCAGGAAAATGCTAGAAGAGGAGAGAGTCGAGGAAAGGAGCTGGGGAATGAAAAGTGACAGAAGAAAAAAACCAAGATAAAAGGATCAGATGGGCTAGAAAAGGATAACCCTTTAACTACATTGCTTCTAGCCAAGAAATTACTATTTTAAAGGCTTCATAGCTTTGCTGGAAGCTCAAGCTCTGTGCCCTAGGACTAGCACGGAGCTCAGAGGACTGCAGCGACGCAGACAGCGCACGCCACCGACAGCATTTGTCACAGAGCTGAAGGGACAGCACTATCGCTTTAAAACATCGTATTTTTCTGCTTTAAAAGGCTTCACTGCTGTTGTCACAGTAACACGATTAGGTGGAAAACATTTTTCTTCGTGCCCTCCAGGTGTTTGTGCAGCACGGTGGGGCTCAGATCACAGCCAGCCCCAGGCACTTGGGTCAGTCTCTCCACACCAACTCCAACCTCATCTGAAACCTTCATAACCTAAGAGCAAAAAATCCAGGTGGCTTCAGTACCTGAGGCTATTTCGAGGTGATTTGTGTTGTTTCTAATTGGATCTGAGATGAGATTATGGGGGTTTTTTTAGCAGCACTGATAGGAAGCTTTGTTAGCTCCTGAGCTTTAGCCCCTAGAAGAGAGATATACATAAACACATGCTTTTTTGTGTGTGTGTGGAAATGTCTTAAGCCTCATGCAGGGCAGAAATGGAAGGAGCAAACGAGCTACATACAATGTGAAAACTCATCTTAAATATTCTACACAGCCAAAACAGCAGACCTGAACGTGCTGCCAGCATTCAAGATGTTTGACAGTGTATTACAGGTCACACAGACCATGAAAATCGAAACCCAGGAGCTCAGGTTCCCAGACAGGCTGAGCACCTGCACCAGCATGGGGAGAGCCCTCATCCTCAGTCTCAATGGCAGCTAATTAACTAATTAGCTTGATCACCCCTCCCAGGCTCCCAGAGAAGGAGCAGTGAGAGCACTTTCTCCAGCTGGAGGTGGCATTTGGAGCTTCCCAGGCCATGGGTATCCTGGTGGGAGGAAGGTGGTGGCTCCTAAAGCAGCTGAGATGGGACTGCTCCCACCTGCAAGCCACAGCATTAGCACCACCACATGGATGTGATCCACATCTTCCTGCAGCCAACTTGTGAGCTTAAGTTCCCATCGATGGGTTTGCACCTTTCTTCCCTACATGAGCTTGTTTCCAGCTTGGATGGACTTTGCCATCCCTCCCCTGCACACACCCAGCCACGTTCAGCAGCTTCCAGACACGTCTATTAGTTTTTGGAGACTTAGGCAAAGAATATTAATTGCATTCCAGAGGCATTCAGCATATTAAGGAAAAGCATTTTATGCCCTGCATTACATCTGGTGAAGAAACAGCTGCAAAAAGCTGTTTGTTGTGAAAACCAAAGCATGTCTGTAAGAGACCTGTACACATCCCCAGTCTGGCTGCAGCAGAACAGTGATCTCAACCTTCTGCATCAGCTCCTGTTGATAAGCAAGTCCCAAAAAAACTCCCTAGCTTTGCCTTACTTCATTTCCACTTCTGCAAAACATCTTAACTCTTGGCTATGAATACAAAGTCTGGAGTCTTTGGTTAATAGTAAGGACTAAGCTGCTACTTG